GACGGATGCAGCCGCCTTGGGAAGCTGTGGGATGTGGGAAGGCTGTCGCCACATCGCATTCCGGCTTAAAATGATCGGAATCAAAGGAATGAAAGAATCCTTGAAGAAGCGATGTACCGCCATCCTGGTTTGGTACCATGTTCACCACCGAGGCAACCCGGTGCCGGCAGTTCGTGTGGCTTACGATCTGAGTCTGCATTTGATGACAGAGCTCAAGCAATCCAACACAGCGATCCCAGCTGGAGCTTCTTCTCTTGCCCGGTACCCTGTGGATCCTATGCGGTTGCCAGCCTCCCACCTTCAGGCTGCCTATCCAGATGGACTTCCAGCCAAGAAGGACCTGAACGGGCTGGCCACCTTGATGCAGCATCACATCTTCGTGAGATCCAATGGCAAGTTGCTACAGGACCATGTGGGTTTAAGAAGATATCAGATGTAGCCAGCAGACCAGCCTTCCAAGGCATGAAGCCCTATACTCCTGACCCTAAGCCCTTTTCAGTTGTTCTGTGGGTATGAAGGTAGCATCCTGAAGTCAGGCCTCTGTCTGGATTTTCTTTTGGCAGGAGTCCCAGCCCAAAGTCGTACAGCCTGCAGTTGCTGTGCAGCCACCGCCGGTACCGGATGGCGAAGCCAAATTCGTCCAAGGCCTCATGAAGTTCTTGACGGCTGCCAACAACATCGTCAACCACACCGAGCCGACAGTGCAGTTCCTGACGAAGCCGACTGCAGCGAGCAGCAGCAAGCAGGAGCCTGTGCAGGCTGCAGGCGAGCAGAGCAAGGGTTGCTTGCCCTTGGAGAACGGGGAGCAGAGCGAGAGCCCCCCTTCTGGAGCAAAAGCGCCGCAGTCCAGTCCAGCCTTGCCCGGACAGAAGCAGAAGACTTTGGAGGAGTTCGAAGCTGAAAACCTCGCCCTGCTGCAGGCCAGGGAGGACGGGAAGAAGGCAGCTTCTACGAACAAGGTCGGGAAAGACAAGAAGGGACCTAAGGCGAAGACAGAGGATCCAAAGGCGCTCAAGTCTGGAAAGCCTCAGGCCAAGGGCAAGCCATCTTCCAAGCAGAAGGTTTTCAAGAGGCCGGCAGCGAAGGCCTTGGCAAGGCCTGATCGTGGAGCCTTTGAAGGCATGGGCTGCCTGAGATGCAGAGGGTGCCGCTTTGGATGCCCGACCTGCTTGGAGGAAAGCTTCGGAGGGCTACGATTGACGAGGAGCGAATGGTTGCAAAGGGCTTCTTTGCACAACTACAAGTAGTGAAGCTGTGCGGCCCGCAGGGGTGTAGGGGTGCGAGCCATCCGCTGCTCAGAAGCGCGGATGCCGGTGTCGCGAATCTGCAGGGGTTGCTCCACTTGCAGGAAACAGTTGAAAGGGTTTAGGGTTTAGGGTTGAGGGTTTAACGAGGACAGTCTTGCAATGGTCCTATCTTTCCTGCAAGTGCGTAGCAGGGTAATCAGGTGACTGTGACGAGCCAAGCAAGGCGGAGGCATCTGCAAGGAGAGGAAAAATTCTTGAAGTACGATTTTTGTTACTTGTGCTTTGCTGCCAGTCCTTAGCTTGTCAAAGCTGCGAAAAGCCTGGGAAGACTCGGAAGTTCCAGCCTGTGTAGAGGCTTTGAACCAAGCAGCTAGAGGCATGGAAGCAAGGTGGCACCAGGGATGTCCGCTATATGAAAAGCCATATGTTCTTGGCATTGTTTGCTCCATAGCGGCAGCATATCTGCTTGGTTTGAAGCAACCGCCTCTATTGTCCAGAATAAAGGGCAAAAGCATGTGTATGCTTCTCCGTCGCTGTAGGACTATCGATGCTACAGGCAGCAGAAGGTTTTTGTTTGCAAGCAACATGACTCTATAGCTTCTGTCATCACAATCATGTGCCACCGAGTGCTGGCTTCCAAGTCGCCAAATTGCAAAGTAGTACAATGTTTTCTTCTCTTAGCTTCAGAATGTACAGAGCAGCCGGACACACAGATCCCGAGAATAGGCACAAGCGCTTGCAACGGAAGGTTCATGCTGTAAAGTGCACATAGATCCGACAGTGGCCTTGCCCATCAGATGTGCAAAGCTACTTTGCATGGAGGAGCCGACGAAGAAACGTAAGATTCTGGATGTGCGACAATCCGTTCCGTTTTGTTCGCAGACTGCTTTAGCGGCCATATGCAAGAACATAGCTGAACATGGGCTGCCTGACAAGCATTCTCGGCGAGACATTTGGCAGGAGACGGAAGAGCTGCTGCACAACTCGAGCATGCAAAAATATGGATCTCTTTTCCTAACAGCAGAGGCCGAGACGGTGAAAGGAGGACAGCAAAAGTTGCTCTTCGTCAACTTCCTTTCGCTGTTGGCCGGAGTGTTCCATGCAGCAGGGCCGTTTGGGATGTGGCTGCTGGATTTTCATGAAAGGCATCCTTCCAGTTACGAATCACCATGGGATGCAGTGATATATGCTGATGAAATACATCCGGGCAATCAATTAAGTTCTTCATCGAGGAAGAGTTGGTGTGTGTACATCTCATTTCTGCAATACAAGTCGCTCCTTTCCCGTGAGGATTTCTGGTATTGCCTCTGCATCAAACGCAGTGCAGAAGTCGGCGAGCTCAAGGCAGGGATGTCACAGGTGATGCGCTTAATCCTGGAAAGCCTGTTCGGGACACGGGTGCCAGAGACAGGGGTGCTTTTGTCATCTCCTGCAGGACAGCTTCGTTTGCATTTTCGTCTCCACATGTTGCTTCAAGATGGCGCAGCGCACAAAGCTGTATTTAGCAACCGCCAAGACACTGGTTGTAAGCCATGTCCTCTGTGCAGCAATATATTTCAGCTCAAAGACAGTGAGAACAACAACAATGTTTGGACCCAGTTTTTGAAGAGATCAGATTGCATCGTGGCATCGGACAACGAGCTCATGGCCTCCTGGGAACGACTCAGGGAAGCAAGCTCAGGGCCGTCTGCTGTCTTCGAACAAAGACAGAAGGCGGCGGGGATGACTTGGTCTGCACATGCTTTGCTCTCCAGCAAGACATTGCAGGAACTGAACATCTGCAGACCCAGCACGTTGTATTGCCATGACTATATGCATTGCCTGGTGTCGCATGGTGTGTTGAATGAAATGGCTTTTTTGGTGTTGGAAGACTTGACAGAGAATGGGCTGCTGTCGAAGGATTGGGCAATGTTGCGGCAGTGGCTGGAGTTCTGGAACTTGCCACATGCACATGCGAGCTTCAAACTGGATGTTTTGTTCACAAGCAAAGCCGTTGCATCGTACAGGAAAGCTGGATCAATCAAGCTTGGGGCCTCTGAGATGCTCACTTTGTGCAAACCCTTGCAATGCTTCCTGCAGAGCAACTTCCTGAGCAATGGCCTGCAAGAGGCGACGTGCCGAGCATTTATTGCTTGGGCAGATGTGCTGGACTATGCCCACAGCATCCAAGGTTTGCAGAATCCCTCGCCTCCTCGGTTTTTGCACTTGGTCGAACAGGCCCTGCAAGCCACCGCCCTGGCAGGTTTCTCAGAGATGATGAGGCCCAAACATCACTGGCCTCTCCATCTTCCGGATTGTCTGCAGCGATGGCAGCAGCTGCCTTCTTGCTGGCCTTTGGAGCGAAAGCATAAAATTCCGAGAAAGTATGGCACCCTCCAGTTTGGTTTGGAAGCTTACAACAAGGCCGTCATGACTGGTGTGACTCAGGAGCATGTGGGCAAACTGTTGAAGGACGAGGAGCTTTTTATGAGCAGCAGCCACTTGGTGTCCAAGACTGCCCTCGGCAAACCTTTGGAGTCCCTGTTGAAGGCGAACAACTGGTTCTTGCCCGGAATGGAAGCTTCTGCAACATGTCGCTTGGAAAGCGGCATGCTATGTAAAAGCGGCGACATCCTTTTTTACAGGAATGCATCAACAAGCAGCACGGCAGGCTTTCCTTGGGCATGTGGTTCTTTGAAGCATTGCATCAGTGTTGCAGGCATGGAGTTGGCTGTGGTGCTTAACTTCCTCTTCGAGAGGGAAAGGCCTGGCACTCATGCCACTGTTTGGAGAAGCCTTCCTGACAGATTGCAGCTGGTGCGGCTGGAAGACCTTTTGCAGCCGGCAACCTACAGCTTTGGGAATGATGGTTGTGTCACATGCTTGCTTCCAGCACCTCTCTCTGCAGCTCGATGACGTGCAGTGCTTGGAAAAACGGAGACACATCAACAGCTTGATTTTGCAAGTCAAACTTTGGAAGACTCTTGTCCTTCGGTGCGAGGTAAGGTTGCGCACTTTCGGGTTTCAGCAGTTTTCGGTGCAGTTCGGCAGCCAGCTCCTTGAAGCTTCTGTAAGTTCGGTAGCTTCTGAAAGCTATCCGCAGCTTTGTGCAAGCTTTCCAGCTGCTATAGCTTCTCAAAACCAGCCGCAGCTCTCTGCAAGCTTTCCGCTATAGCTTCTCAAAACTAGCCGCAGCTCTCTGCAAGCTGTCTATTTTCTAACATAAGGTAAACTTTGGGTCGACAACGACTAAAAGAACCTTTTGCAGAGCCTTCACTTCATATTCCTCTCGCAAACTTCCATCTGCATGGGAATTACGGTACAGCTTGCTAACCATTGTTGCCTAAACTTTTTCTCGCTTTGAGTCAGGGGGAAGTATTCCCTACACTCAAATATAGAACAAAGACCCCTGCCATATTGACGATCCCCTTCCCCATTCCTCAACTTTCGTCGTCTCAAGCCCTTGATGCTTCTGCTTTCTGCGACTATGAAACGAAACTTGGTGGCTTGTTTTTTAGAGAATAAGCTACTTCAAATTAAGAAAACTCTACTCTAAACGAAGCTCGCACTTCCATCATCTTCAACAACTAGTTTTTAGCTAACTCAGCTAACTTTTTTATTGCTTTGTCAGACTTAGCATAACTTAAATTTCTAAATATATAACTTATGTAACATGATTATTTTTTAGGACCATTATAACTCGTTGTAACAAGATACAACTTGTTGTTAACCCACTAACATCTATTTACTAGCAATCTTAAAACCAATAAACAATTAGCTAAACCCCAGAGCGCCAAAGCAATCGAAATGCCCTGGGTTCTCAGTAAACCAAAGAGCGATGCGATCACGAGCGCTGGTGTTGTATGCAGCCTTAGCAAGCCGCATCGGCGCTGGGATGATATGAACCGCAACTTTGTAAGCCTTGGAGGCCCCGTAGGCTTCAAGGCTGCCTGCCCATCGTCCGTTCTCAGACATGTGATCAATGTACTCGGCAAAGCTGTCCATTTCCTTGCCTACAGAATCCTGCCCACTCCAAAATGGCTCATACGACGACTGGTGTTTGCGCATATGCGCACAAATCTCAGCACGGACACGGTTGGCAGGCAAGGCGGGCTCGTTGCGGAGCCTCCCCAGGGCCTGACCGATGACAGCATAAAAGCAATTGCCGTCTCCGTCAACGGCCTGCAACTTGACACCATCGGGGATGCTGCGCAACTTCTCCGAAAGAGCCTGCTTCCTCAGAGCCACCCTCGCCCTGCTTGGACTCCGGCTTGTTGCCCTGCTGTACGAGCGGCGCCTTGCTGAAGATGAAGGGCTTCCGGTCGATAATGGGTTTGGTAGCCCTCGTAAACCCAGGTCTCGAAGCGAGCATCCAGTAGCTAGTCTCGCCCTCGCCTTCCTTCACGAAAATCTGAAAAGCATCGGCATCAGTGTGGGCCACTTTGGCTTTGATGAGCCAGTGAGCCCTTCCTTTCCTCAATGTCTTTCTGATGACTGCCGCCTCTTCAATGCCCTCCTGCTCCTGGACAAGCATGGAGACCAAGCCATCGCTCCACTCAACAGGTGTGCCTTGCAGCGAAAAGTAGCGCACAAAGCCTTTGCCAGAGCTCGCACTTGCCTCAGTGCGCAAGCCGATCTGGCGCTTGCCAATGAAGGCGCCAAAGCGAGGAGCGGCCTCAAGCGATCGCTTGAGAGCCTCCGGCCAGGACTCTTTCGCCTCAGTATCGAACCACTGAACGGCGCAGTCAACGTTGTGGTCTCGCCCAGCAGGCTCCAAGAAGGTGCCATTGACGCCCGAGAAGCTGAGGAGCGTCTCCACCGCCTTGACCGGAACACGAACCAAGCCCACCACAGCCGGGGAGCCCAAGCGAGTGGGCGAAGCCCCAAGCGTCCTTGACAACTCCATGCAGATCACTCTTCAAAGTGCCCCGCACCCATCTCTGGACGGCAGCCTTCGGAGCCGAAGAGGCCCTGTCCCAATCTGCGGTTTCCAAGAAAGGCTTGCCGAAGACGATGCGCATGGTAGTCGTGGCTTCGCCTGTGGGAACGGCCTTGGCAGCAGCAGGCGCATGCTTCAACGTGGGCAATGGCGTGCCGGGCGTAAGGAAATCGATATAGGCAAAATGATGAATGCGAACATCGTTGCCGTCCTTGCCCTCCCCAACAATGGGGAGCTTGAGCTTGCCCTCGGAGTCTGCCCAGACCAATCTGGCTGAGCACTTGGCACCCGCACCTGTAAGCATCATCATCAATGCATCGGCCTGTTCCGCATCCCGCACTTGAACTAACACGGAGCCGTTCAAACTGTTCAGCTGTGAAGCTGCCTTGTCGTAGGAAAAGATTGCGCCATTCCAGTCACGGTCACGAAGCTGAGGGCGAGCGGGCGCAACCGTGGAAGTCTTCGCAGACTTTCCCTGTCCTTTGGGTGTCTGTGGAGCTCCTTTGCCCTTCCCTTTGCCAGGAGAAGCGCCTGCCCCGCTCACCACAGCCGCATAGCTGTTGGCCTTTCCGCCGCCTTTGGTAGGACCCGGCTCGGGCGGATCTGGCTTCTGGCGCCCCCGGCGGCGAACAGTCTGAAACCCATCACTGTCGATCTGGGTGGCATTGCCACCCCCTGCATCAAAGGACACCCGTCTGGGAGGCGGCTCAACCTCATCAGTGGCCCCACCGGTCATGGTCGCCATCAGGTTTTGAATGCCCGCCAGCTGTGACTTGATCGCCGGGTTATCCCCAGCAAGAACCGCAACCATTGACAAAAGAAGCTGGATGATCGTCTGCAAAGCATCCTGAGTCATCTGCTCCCGCCTCTTGTTTGCTGTCGCCGAAGCAGCACCCGGTCCTGGATTAGCAGCTTCGCCGATGCGGACACCCAACAGGCTTGAGTGCGGTCGGCGTCGCCACCAGGAGAATCCAGCGACTGAGTAGAAAAGCAAGGCCCTCACGTAAACACACTGAAAGGATTCAAGGCTGGCAGTGGCCTCGAGTTGATTCTGGTTGCTCCCAGCTGTGACCCATCGCATGACGTACAACCTCAGGCAACGGTCACCCTGGCCAACCTGCAGTGCTCCTGACCAGCCTTTGCAAGCTGATCCCCTCCAGGCCTCATGCAAATGGAAAGCCAGCCTGTCAACATAGCATTGAAAAACATCCCAAGGAAAAGTAGCCCACAGCTCCATAGCCAACATCTGCCACCATTCTGTGGCGCTCTAAGCGCCTCACCCTGCAGACACTTCGCGGGCCCGTGGAGCGCAAAACGGGCCTCCGCAGCAGCCAAGGACTTGTGCAGGGGGCGGTCTGCGTTGCCGCGGAAGTAATCGTCATGTTGTTGTTGTAGATGAAAAACGACATCAGCTTGGACTCCCGAAAGAGCAGCTAGACGCCAACGCCACCCTTAGCAGCTTCACGCCGATTGACGCCGCTGCTGCCTGATCATGTTGACGAAGCGATCATGCCAGTCCTGCGTAGCTGCTCGCTGAGCTGCCACAGCATCCCGCGCCCACTCAAACCTCTCGTCAGCGGCACGAGCCGCGTGAGCCACTGCTTGACTGCAAGGCTGCAGAGCCGAGCCAGCAGCAGCGTCTGCCCGCCTATTAAGAGGTCGACAAGCGTCGGCGTCGATCCAGCCTGAGGGAGGCGTCCACGAGGCCTGCTTGTTGTGAGCCGGAATCCATGCCACTTGCAGCCAGCGCACCGCCTTTGCCAGACGCTTCCACGGCCTCCAAGGGTCACCATTTTCGCACGCGGCCTCACCGCCAAGCAACCTGCCAGCGACAGCTTGGTTGTCCACGAGAAGTCGCAGCCACCGTCCGTGAACAAGGAGCGCTTCAGCCAGTATGAAAACTGCAACGCGCTCACCTTCCGCCGCCGTCTGGTCCGGTCCTTCAACAAAGCCTCCAAAGGATTTGTCTGCAAAAGCGACGGCCCAGGAAGCCTGCTGAAAACCCTCCGCCTTTCTCGCAAGGAGGCAACCACCGTCAGTTGCCACGTAGTGGAAGAGGTCGCTGTCAAGCTCGCTCAAGTACTCCGCCACCTCACCGACCTGCACGCTGTAGTCCGCAAGCGGGCGCCGGGGAGGTAGAGGGCGAAGCGCCGCCAAAAACCGCCGCTCCAGCAAAGTCCGCCGCGCAGAGCTCCACGTAGCTCGAGGACAGTCGAAGGTCAAGTGCGTCCTGGTAGGGCCTGCAAAGCCACAAGTGCAGACGAAGTCCTGCACGTTCCCGTCTTTAGGCGTCAAGCTCCTCGCGTCTGAAGCTGCACCAACCATGACGCGCAGCGGGTAGGTTTGGGCCACGTCACGCGTTTTGACTTATTGGTAGTTCAAGTCAAAGTCGCCGTCAAAGCCACCAGCCTGCTTGGCCTTGTTGTCTTGCAAGAAGAGCTTGCGAGCACCGTCCTGCCGCATGAGCCGTCGCAGGGCAGGAGCACCGACGTCGCCCGCCTGAAAGGAGCCATGGCGAGTGTGCCAAACACCTGCGTCGTCACGAGTCCAGCCAAAGTACCTCAAAGCAGCCTTGGTCTGAGGAGCCTCGCGCGGATGCCGCCCAAGCTGTAGTCTCATGTTCACGAAGGACTGCAGTCTCCGCGTTGACGAAAGCCGGGTAGAGCTCAAGCCCCAGCACAGCTGCCCAAGCCAGAGCACGCGAACGGCCTCTGGGTATGCTGCCACCCCAGGCCGCTCGCTCGATGGCACCAGTCCAGGCCTGTAGGTCCTTCTTGTACTGTCGAAGCCAAGGAGCGGCCCAACGGAAAAGAGGCACTACCAGAAGCCGAAGAAGCGCGCAACGAAGACTCCTGGATTGCCCGCACAGCTGGATGCGCTTGCACCTCGCCTTGAGCACCTTGCCAACGGTGCCAGCAGCGATCGGAGAGGCCGCCGTGGTGTTGTAAGGAAGACCCAAAAGCCGAAACGTCTGCTGCGGAATGCCCACCTCGTCAGCTGCAGCCAACAAATCTTCTCTCACAGGCTGTGAGGTGCCAAAGCTCTCCAACTTAGCCGGATGCAGTTCGAAGCCTAAAGCCTGGTCTGCTTCCCTTCCCGCCACCATTGCCGCCCGCACAGCTCTGGCCGCACCACGGCGCTTTCGCACCCAGATGGCCCTGTCGTCAAGAAAAACGGACAAATTGCAGCCTGTATCAGCTTTCTTCACCGCCGCCAGCCACTCTGTCATCATGCTGTTGAGGCAAAGAGGAGAAAACGGACATCCTTGCAGCAAAGCCGCCGCCTCCACCACAGGGCGCCTGGCACAGGCCCCCTCCACCATGAGCCAGCGCTCGTGAAGCTGGTAGAAGCGCTCGATGACAGTGAGCACGTAATCGTCATCCCAAAGGACAAGCATGGAGGAGGCCCGTGCGACGAAGACGGGGAGTGCTTCAATCTGACGATGCTTGAAGTCGTGGTCTGTCTGGTGAATGCACGCTCGGTCCACCCACATTGAAATGGGCCGCAAGCGATGCACGATATGCTGGCCTGACAAGAAAACGACGAGAAACACGGTGATGGGAAAGTAAACCAAAACAAGCAGCAAAAGGAGATTGCTTGTATGGTTTGTGGCGCAATGTGCATATAGGCTCATGCCGACAGTCGCCAGGAACCAAGTCGTCAGGGAGCACCCGACAGCTGCTGGCAGATTCAAGTACAGGCACACCGCCAGATACTTCGCGCAGCGGGCCGAACCCCAGCGGTGGCTTACAAAAACGTCCACGTTCTCGGCGCAGGAAGAATGCACGATCCTGCTTGGAGAACCTCCTGTTTAGTTGGTATCTTTTCAGGCCGAAAGCCTGCCGCTGCTAGGAGACCTGGCAAACCGTGCATGAAGATGGCTCCCCGCTGGGCGAGGATCGCCGGCGCAGTGGTTGCACGGAACAGCCCTGCTGCACACACATCATCGAAGGATTCCGGTCGGCGCAGCCGGTTCATGATATCGACCACGGTATACGAGGAGGGGTCCGAGAAGGTTCAAGCTACACTGAAGCCGCTTTCATCTTGAGGTGTGTAATACGGCTTCGAGATGCCAGGTGGCAACGACAATTAAACATGAAATGTCCTAACCTCTGTCAATGAGCCAGAGCTCTTAGTCTCATGTCGGGGAGGGATTCGGCTATTGCAGCATCGTCTCTGTGACCTCGAGGCTTTTCCCAAGCCTTGCGTCTTACGTCACTGGGAGCAACAAGTTGTACCCCTTTTTCGGGCCTTTGTGCAACAAATATACCTACGAAGCCGACACTTGAGGACCCCGAAACCTTACAATTTCGGAACTCCAAACCGAACCCACAAAGCCCAAAACACACCTAAAGCCCAAACCCGTAAATTCCCAAACCCTCAACCCAGGAGCCTGAATCCTCATCCGTGAACCCCATACCCGGAACCCTAAACCCAAAACCCCTAAACTCCAAACCCCCAAACCCCTGCGTAAACCCCAAACGCCTAAACCCAAAACCCCTAAACCCAAAACCCCGAAACCCTAAACAGTGAGCCAGGCTTCGGGAGCGAGGACTATCTCCGGAGCTTTCACGCGCACTCTGGCCCGTGCTCGAGGGCGCCTTGGCGCCACAGGGCCCAAGAGCTAGCGGAAGTAGGGTGTTTAAAAAAGGCTTCATAAACATAGGGTTCCTTTTGTAAGGGCTATAAGGGTTACTATAAGGATTTGGTTTATCGAACATTTAATATAGGGGCCTTAATATTTACCAATACTACTTTGGGGGTTCCTTAGTATAGCTTTAGTAGCTCTTAAAATGGCTTTGGGTGTTTAAAGAAGTGGTTTTTGTAGGTGTGTTTTTCGGCTGTGCCAAATGCCTTGCTTCGGGGTTTTGTACTTCCAGAAGGACTTTCTTGAACTGGGCTTCAACAAGTTTTGGGACACTTATGAGGGTTTGCGTTGATGGCTTCGGCTTACGGCCAAGGGATGCTGAGGGTTGAGAGGTTAGGGGTTGTATCTCAACACAGCGGTTACTGAGCCGTGAGTTCTTACCCATTTCATGTCCTAAACCCTGTCAGGCATACCCGTGATGTCTACGGATTCTGCATCTGCCCGAGTTTCTGGCAGAACAAACTGGATTCCATCAGTGCTCTTTGCATGACCTAAAAAAAGCCGACAAACAATGGTATGGCACGAAGCTCCGTTTGGAACGGAACAGCCTAGAGGGTCTTTCAAAAGGCCGGTGGAAGCAGGAGTAGGGTGGATTATCATCGTACCAGGGTTTGGGGGTGCTGTAAAGATTGGGTCGGGTACTGTAGGTAAGGTAGTGAAGTGCGGATCAAGCACTTCTGACTAGACGCTCTAGGCGGCGATTGGCTGCACGGTTTCAATGCCGAATGCTCTCTCGGAGCAGAAGTGCCGGCCCACGCTCAAAAAAAAACAAACTTGTCGAGCACCTCCCAAGCAGTTTCGACTTGCCTGAACCAGTTCCGAGGCAACCCGTGCGATTAAGAAACATGGCATTTCAATCAACAAGACCGTTTTGATGCCGAGCTCCATGTCATGAGCCATCGTACCAACAATGCCATGCCAAACACCCTGACCCATGAACTTGACTGCACACCCGAGTCCACGAATGTTGACCACTAATGTTGATCCGCTCACCCTCACTTCCTTCGAAGAGGGCCTCACACCTGATATTGATGATAGGTGAAGCATCCCAATAAAAGCGCAAACATGAAACCTCCTATCCCAACGCCCCCAAAAGAAGTCAAGCACCGTGGTTGTGAACGTCGAGCTTGTTGAGCTATTGGGCTGGTAGCTGGTGCTACCCTTGCCTCGGTCTCTAAATGAGAGTTTCAAAACAGAAAGGACGCTTACATCAATCCTTGTGGCTTTCAGGACCATTGCATTTCCATAAAATACGGAGAGAAACCAACTCCGACGTCACCTCGATCCCCGAGTCCCTGTGTTCTCAAGCACCGGAAACCCAGAAGCCCCACCCGGCTCTGCTAAAGCCGCTGGTGCACCATCTAAACTCCTCTACAGAGCCATAACCCCTGGTTCTTACACAGAAGGGGGGAATGGATCTGTAGTCCCTAACTTCCTTGGGGACCTCTCTGGCAACAGTCCTTAGCCGAAGTGGAACCCTCTTCAGAGAAACACTGCGGTTGTCGTGACACAAGGTCGTTTCAACCTGTGAAGACGACCTGAAAGTTTGAAAATGCGTACACCTGAAGCCTTAAATTGGTCACTCTAAACCCTCTCCCACCGAGTGACCTAAAGCCATGAACCTTTAACAGTTAGTTGCTGCAGCACCCGGCCCAGTGACTGGCATGTGAGTCCTCCCGGTGTGCCGACAGCCACTGGTCAGATAGCAAGTCCTGGGAAAGCCAGACAGAGAGAGAAAGAGAGGGAGAGAGAGAGAGAGAGAGAGAAGAGCCTACGCCAAAAGAATAATATAAGGGTCTTCGCACTTCGAATAAGGGTAGGGTTCTGCAAGGGTTGAGTAATCAGAAAAGCTAAGGACCACTTGGGACTGGGGTAGCCTGGCCCAGATGACCCGAGTAGTTTTAGTCCATATTGGGCTTGCTATATTGAAAAACCTAGCTCTCAAACCCTAAACCCTACAAACCCTAAGCCCAAAACCCTACAAAACCGCCAAGTTCAACGACACCCCAACACAGAGCAGGGCAGGGTAAGACAAGTTGTGGGACCTCCAGGGGCCTGTTGGCCTCTGGATCGAGCTTTTTGGCTCTTTGCCGTCTCTGACCTTAGGGAGACTTTAATGGGCCTGTTGAGGGGCTGCGCACTTGTGGTAACATGTTGTATCGTACCGAAGCCTGAACCCCAGAGCGCCGCAAAAGAGCGCCTAGGACCGACTGCCAAAATGCCTGCTCGATGGTAGGATCCTAATTGAAAGACCCCTGCTGGGATCAAGAACCCCCCCCCAAATGTGTGCTCCTCCACAGTGGGCCGTCTGGCCATGTCGGCGGTCAGCGCACGCTGCACCATGGCCTGCCAATAAGCTGACATGCAATCGTAGATTATATAGGAATACTGTAGAAACAATGTAACCATCTTAAAGAATAATATAGTAAAAGCAATTCAATAGTATGGTATTTCATGTTTGTGGATCACATTCATATAGTATATAATTCGGACTGCAAGACCCCATGCCTACGACGATGGGATAGGTTTTCCGTGGTTGCTCATATTTCTAGGATTTTCTAGGCTTTGTTGCTGTGATTCCTAGGAATTCGAGACCAACCGATTTGCGGCTGGGGGGTTCTGTAGTAGGGGTGTGGGCTTAGGGGTTTAGGGTTTGTTGCTTCCTACTTCGCAAGGTTCAGGGCTTAGGGTTTATAGGGTTCAGGGTTTCCAGGGCACTTTCCCCCCTCAAACGAATGGGGCTCTAGGATCTTATTCCTCCAAGCCCTAAGCCCCAGAAGACCCGAGCATGGGAACCCGGGAGGTCTATCGCTCCTTGGGAACTTTCCCTTGAAACACTTCACCGAGGACTCGAAGACAGCGCCGGGCTCGTAGAAACTCTGGGTTCTTCGGGACGCGTGGGTCATAAGATAGAGGTAAACGTTTCGCGGATTACAGGTGAGGCAACAAAAAGGATTGAGACACAGAGGAGTTTAGGATTTAGGGGCTTTAGGGGCTTGGGTCTGAGACGGCCTTGGCACCATCACCAACGAATTCCTTGGCGTGTGGGTGCAGGCCAGGAAGATCAGGAGCCCTCTGCCAAACTACAGCAGGCAAGAGGGATATGTAGATATCTACATATGTAGAAATATATATATATATATATATATAGAATATGTAAATTGTCAGTGACGCTCCAAAGGGATGTGACTCCTAGTCGTGTAGTAACAACTAAGCAGAACAAGAAGTTGCCTTAACCCTCTCCTGAGAGCAAAAAGCTCCGGCTGCTAGCGTCGGACCGTCCTAAAAAACTCAAAGTGGTCCTAATTTAGAGCACTAATGTAGGAACCTGATTAAGAAACCTTGGGCCTTTATTAGGGCTCCTTATATGAACCCTACTATTTTGGGTTATAGGCCCCGGGTTCCTTAATCAGGTTCCTACATTACCCACATGCACTGGATTCGGCTCTGAACCGATGGCCAAAGACAAAGCCGGGTGATGCGAAAGCATCTACCCTGAAGATGGCTAGGACGCCCAGTGCCTCCCTTTTTGGTGTTGAGTAACTTTGTAGGGAACGTAGGACTACAAAAAGGGATCAAGGGTACTACTGGGCATCCTAGATGGTGATAGGTTGGCTGTTGAACATACCCGAATGAACCTTTACGCCGGCTCTAGGTTTCCCTGCTCCGACATGTTCCTCTCTACTGCGAAGTCGCATCAACAGTTGAAACGCTGCACACCCAACGACAACCTCAAACTCCAACGCACGAAGCCCGGAATAAGCCCTGAACAACCCAAGCTTCCCTAAAAGCCCATGTGAGCCAGAGCCTGAATCTCAACATTGAGAAGAACCCAGATTTGAATTGGAAATCTAGAGATAAAAGCCTCCTCGAAATCTTGAAACCTTGACACACCTCAAACCCTGAAGCCTGAAGCCTCTAAACAGCGCTGAAAGATGCCGCGGGGCTGGGATGTGAAACACTCCTCGTACGATTTTCCGGTAGAGGTCGCCTCGGTGTCCGTCTTATAAGAGCCGCTTTGAAAGGCTGAGGGTTTCGGATTTTCTTGGGTGGTTTAGGGTCTGGTGTTTAGGCCGCTTAGGGTTTAGAGTTTAGAGGCTCTAAGGGAATGTCTGAGCTTGTCTCCACTTATTTGGAGGCCTCAAATTAGGCGGCTTAGGGCTTGCAGGGTTTGGGGGCTCGTTCATGGGCCGCTTGGTAGGGGGCAAGGAGGGACGCGCTTCGCAGTGGAAGCACGTGTCGCTTTGTTGAATGTTCCTTTGCCGACGCCTTGGCCGTGCGAAACTTAACAAGCTTACCTGCCGGGTTTTCACGCTGCAACTACAGCATAGCCGGAATTTTTGAAGGCAGGTCTCAGAAACCGCTCCCAAGAAGTCGAATAATTACCCCGTAGTGAGGGGTTGGATGCAAGAACAGGGCTTCTTCGCAGTGCTCGCCGAGTAATATAGGGGCCTTAATAAATAAAATAGGGTTTGGGGGCCCAGAATACTGTAATTATAACAAGGTTTGTATTTATTTAGGCCCCTATAGTAAATTGTAATGGGGCATAGTGGGGGGTCTTTTCTCGAAACTTACCGCCTTAGTCTGGGAAGCAACTGCTCTTCCGACTGGCTGTGGGCTGCGAGTTTTACGTAGGGAACTCGGCGCGGTGGCATCTTCTATAGGATGTCGAGGATCTTATCCGCTAGGGCTCTCCTCTTCAGCCTCTTGGCTTCTGCCACGCGCACTTGAGATTCGCCTGCATCCCTACAGCCGACAGCAGACCAGCAACAGTTCCCCATCAAGATCTGTACTGTTAGATTGAAGGCTACAGTCCCAAACCTCGAAGCTTCTACGACTCTCAGCGCTTCACCCCTAAGTTTTGAAGGTCATCTCCGCTTTATCCCCTACAAGTACTCTCAAGCGTGAGCCCGGATCTCTCAACTAAACCAATGCTTTCGCCGGTTCACGGTCATTTTGCCCGCGGAAGGGGAAGCTACCACAAAGCAGGGCATAGAGCAGAACGCCCATGGCCCAGATATCTGCACAAAAGCCTGCACACAAAGGAATTTGGTCAGAATTTCGGGTTTAAGCTTGCATGCGGCGCTTCTTGGGTGAGTTGTCATGAAGCAACGAGCTTGTAAAGCTAGCGACAAGTCACAGGAATCCTCAAAAGCAAGCCCATCGAGCAGCACCCAGACTACGTGGTCCGGCACTTGCCCGAAACTTCAAACTGCCTGCGCTCAAGGGCCGTGTCAAAAGACCCTGCCGTCATAACGGTTGATGATATAAATCCTGCATGACCTTAAGGACCCTAGACTATGGGAATTATTGTATATTCCTTATTATGTGTAATGCAGGATTTATATCATCAACCGAAGGACCCGTGGTACGGCAGCAAAACAACCCCCCATCCATGCCGACATTGTTCGGGTGGCCTGTGTACTCCTTCCTGGCCACAATCTCTGGAGCCTGGTGGTAGAGGGTTAGACTGGAAACGGAGGTCTTCGTAAAACGGGGTCGTGAAATAAAGATCTTGCGATCCTTACATTTAAGGTCTCGATTTGGGTCCACTGTTTTCTGAAATGCCCAATTTGACCGTACAGTGTTGGGGTTTTCGAATTCGAGCGCCCCGGTGTGGAATGAGTGATGATTTCCCGAAGATTGCATCTAGGCATTTCCGGAACGGGATCGCACTCACTTTGGAGGGGAGGATCCGTTTGTCTATATGGGGTTACTGAGAACAACCAGAGCATTCCCACGGCCGACTTTCGAGACCATGTCATTCCGATATCCTGGCATCCAGCACGCTACCCGATCATCCAGAACTGCTTTCTGTGGAAACCTGAGACCACACCCGGCATCTAAAACCCGACGCTTACTACCCTAAACCCAAGGAAACTGGGGTCCCAACCCGCCCAATCCTCAGACTCCTAATACAGGGGCCTGAAAGATTGGAATAAGGCTTTGGGGCCCATTGTACTATTATGATATTAAGGAGCCCCCAAAATAGTATATAGGTCATTCTTTCGGCACCGACTCCTAAGGCTTCAGCAGCCGGGAGGCCATGTAGGAGGGAGTGCCGCAGAAGACCTTCAACTTCTTCCCTGGTGGGACGATCGTGGAGAAGCCGAAGTCGATAATCTTCACCTCGAAAGCAAAGGCGATAGGGGGGTTACAGGGGGGTTAGGATTTAGGGATTAAAGTGTATAAGCCGAAGTCGATAATCTTCACCTCGAAAGCAAAAGGGATAGGGCTCATAGAGGGGGTTTAGGATTTGGGGGTTAGGGTTTATCAGGGGGTTTAGGATTTAGGGATTAGGGTTTATAAGGGGGTTTAGGATTTGGGGATTAGGGTTTATCAGGGGGTTTAGGATTTAGGGATTAGGGTTTATCAGGGGGTTTAGGATTTAGGGATTAGGGTCGGGTTTATCAGGGGTTTAGGATTTGGGGATTAGGGTTTATAAGGGTTAGAGGAGCCCCAAATGTGAGTCTCAGAAAATGGCGCAGCCAAATGCACAACCCCGACGACTACAAGGGACCGGAATAAGGTACCCATACTCTGTGCCACCCCTCGTTTTGCCCTAGCTGGTTTACGTTGTGTTTCCTCCGATTTTTGCACCTACACCGCCAAAGACAAAACCCCTAAAGCTCTAACCCCAGCCGCAGCTCGTACTGTTGCCAAGGATCCGAAAAAGACGGCTGAATTATCCCTTCAGTTTAACATCCTGCACCTTTACATCTTAAACTCTTTATGCCATAATCCCCAAGCCCTTAAGGCAAGGGTGGCAAAATCAAGACTGCAGCCAATGGTGCAGCTCCCTGCTCATCCAAGAGCAAGTTCTCGAGCTTCCTCAGTCAGCTCTTCCGAGGCTTGATTGGGTTCAGGTTCTTGGACCCTTTTTCCCCTCTCACATTGCTCGGAGATCTATTGGTTTTAGACTTAATTTAGGTTTGGGAGTTGTAAGTTCACGGAATTTTCAGAACCTAGGCCTTCACAGCTCATGGCAACCAGCGCTAGCCCGATAAACGATCAACGTTACGGGAACCCCTAGCGTCATTTCCTCTGCGGTTTCAACATGTCTCCGCCCAGGGTGGCATTGATCATGTCGCCATTGCTACCGAGCCTAAAATGTTGGAATTGAATGAGTGGCAACGATGTCCCCTCTCATAGTCCTTATAATCTATACACCTGAGTATAATCTACCCCCCAAACCCCGTTTTTAATTTGCTGAGGGTACCGTATTTTGGAGTCCTTATAATAAGGGTCCTACTATTTAGGGTACTGTATTGGGGCTCCCTCTCTTCGGAAACTCCCATATGAATGATGCAGCATCATTCAAGTCGCATGATCCACTTTGGCCTTTGTCCAGCTACGCCATGCCAAAAACCTGAAAAGCCTCCAATCTAGGGGCCTTAATAATTAGGACAAGGTTTTGGGGAAAAGTATGCTATAACTCTAATAAGAAACCCCAAAATAGTCTGGGTACTTATTAAGGCCCCTGTATTGACTTGAGTAGAAAGCTTACAATCTTCAGGCGCTTTGAGACTGCCCGACGCACCCTCAACTGGCCTGCTTCATTTATGGAGTTCCAGTGTTGGCGGTTAGATTACATCACGAAGGACATACAAGTTTAGCTTGCTGGCTTACATTAAAGCTGAACAGACATCCATGGCCAAGCAGCACATCGCGGTGGACGATGTGGCGATCATGTAGGTATTTGATGCCCTGGCAGACCTGGCTGGGAACAAAACTGCATACATCGAGGGCTTAGAATTTTGGGGAGCTATTTTCTAGGTTTTTCCGGTGGGATGAATGTTTATAAGGCCTAGGAAACAGGTGGGTGCTATTCTCTTTGAGCTGAGACCCTCAGCTGCACTGCAAGTCCTCGTGTTGGTGACTGAGTGACTGGACTGTGCGGTAGTCTGCACTTTCTCAAGTGCGCCCTTTCCATAGACCCACTCATTGACAAGCTCTCCCGCTCTATTCAGGCGTCGACAGTACGTATCACCACTTTGAACAGTGAAATGCCAGCAAAGCTGAGAACTCCTAAGCCGCAAGCCTTGCAAGCCCCCAACCCACAGCCCAACAACTTCGGACCCCAAATTCTGGACATCTCGGACTGGATTGCTATATAGTAATGGCCTTTACATGGATGGACAAAACGTATAGAAATCCTGAACACAGGACAGCCCAGGCCTGGAAGAACAAGCGCTTTGCCAACGGGTCGTCGGTGCGCCGATTGGGTCGCTTCTTCCTGGATGTGGGCTGAGGAGTTTTCAGGTCTGCCTGCTGCTCGTATGAGGAACAAAAAGCAAGAGGGCTTCCAATTCGCAGTTCCTACAGTTAACGTCCGACATGCTTAAACGCCAAGCTGGAGATCATGAGCCGGATGGTGCACATCGCAACATCACAAATGGAACAGTGCCGGCGAGCATCAAAAAGTGGTGCAGCGACCCCCCCGAAACGAAATCCATGATGAGGTAGATCTGCTTGGGCCTCGGACGTCGCTGTCGGCTGTCGGACCGAAACTTCGGACTGGACTGCAAAGGTCCTTGACCATTTCTATGTTTAGGTGAGCTGTCGACAAAACTATGTATGCACTTGCCAGCAACAGAGCATAGATGAACTTGCCCTTCCGCATATGATCTTGGATATGACTTCGTTGTCGATAGGAAACTGCTGAGCTCTGCAGTTGGGCTTTTGAAAGAACTCGTTGAAGGCTTCGACAGGCTTTAGATGGAGGCGGCTGGAGCGGCTCGAGCCAATCAGCATTGAAACGTGTTCAACCTATTCCAGCCTAAACTCCTGAACCCTAAACCTAAATGCTGCTTCGTCACTCAGAAACATTTGCCCGCGAATTCGGCTCGGTTTTTACATTTAGCCCTGACACCAATACACATACTTGCAATCTTTTACTTCCGTGACACGAGCAGCCGCTTCAAAGCTTGCAAATCCACCGGCTTCTGCACCTACGGTGTTGGGTACAGCAGACTCCGCAAGCACGCAAAAAGCAGCAAACTTTGGGGAATTTAGGGGGCTTAGGGTGTATCTTGCTTTTTTTGGAATCCGCCTCAGGCCTAGCTGACTGCTAAAGCCCAAACCCACTCTTGCGGGGAAGAAGGGCGTGTCCAAAGCTTCGTGAAACTCCACGATGTTCGGGTGTCTCAGCCGCTCCATAAGCCTGAGGTATGGCATCAAAGAGACTGGAGGCTTCTCCGGACTTGCTATTTCCTGTGCCTCGTCCTCAACTGGACTTATGCTGAAGGGGTGCTTCGAGAAGGGGGGGGTCATGGAAGGGTGGAGCTGTAGGGCAGAAGGGTCAAGGGCTTTGGGCACTTAGGGCTTTGCTGAGCTGTTGGGGTACACAGGGCTTGGGGCTTGTGACGCTGCAGGTCCGTACAACCAAAAACCGGGTTCCCAGGGGCTCTTCATGTTCTCATGCAGCAGCAAGTAGCTAAAATGATGAATGCATGCTAAATTTATGCTGCTGGTTCAGAAGTCCCTATGAGGGTTGAGGGTTGGGCTTGTAGTGTCTACGGCAGCGCTTGTAGAGTTTTGGGGTGTGTTGGGTTTACGCTGTCCCAACTCGGACAAGCCACGCGAGGTTCACAGCGTTCGGGTCGGCGTGAAACTTGAGGTGTGCCGATGTTGGGTTTGAGGGGACTCTAGCTGTTCATAAAAGCATGTCAGCAGGAAGACCGCTCACGACCAAGCAAAAAGCATCTGGTGACATCAGCTGGCATCCCTTAGCCGAAACCTCGAGCCGCAGAAACCAAAGCCCTCAAGCCGAAGCGCTGATCCCAACCGTTCTGACCGCGAACACTCCCAAACATGCTTTGAGTCTTTGTGCATTGCGTGTATTGGGGAGACCAAGCTATACAGCCTAAACAACTACCCTACCCACAAAAGTTGAAAGCCGCCCTGCGCTGTCCAGCTTGCCGTCACGGTGCCGGATCTCGCAACGGACGCTTTTCCGCCGTTGAGGATCGAGGAGCTTGTACTTCTCCTAGGCTTGTCTGTCCCTGAAGCCACCCTCACACCGAACCGGCGGGGGGGGGGGGGGGGCTGGGTGGGATTGGGCTTGGCCCTCAGGCCAAAAACCCCGCGACTTGGGTACACATATACATATACACCCAACTATATGCGCATGCGCATGCATTCACACTGCGTCACTACATGCATGCATGCATAATTACCTACCTGCATGCATGCATGCCTGCCTGCCTTACCTACCTACCTGCCTGCGCATTCGCGCCAGGCTGTCGCTTCCCGCGAAGAACGACCATCTCTCGAAAAGTAATCTCTCTCTCTCTCTCTCTATCTCTCTGTCTCTGCATGTCCACAAATATGTACATATATGTAAACACATACAGAAGCCAACGCGCATGCTCTCCCGCATCATTATACTGTTTCAAATATGTATGTATACATATATATATATATACATACATACATACATATTTATGTGTGTGTGTGTGCGTATGTACACACATACGCCGGCACGCATGTATGCATGTACGTATGTATGTGTCTGCATACATGCATGTATGCGTGGATGTGTATGCAAATAAATAAACATGTACATATGTGTATATATATATATATATATGTATGTGTGTGTGCGTATGTGTATGTGTAGGCAAATTGTATATCATCTGCATGTAACGTAGATGTCTATGTATGTGTATATGTAGATGTATGCGTGCATGTATGTACGTATGCATTCATGCCTGGAGGGATGGATGGATACATGAGCTAGCTTTTCCGAGGCCAGCTTTTGTACCCAGATGCGTAGATCTTGATGGCCACCTGCGCTCCACTGGAAATCGTGCTTCACACTGCACATTCTCATACATAGTAGGGTCCAGTATGCTGCGAGTGTTGAAATTTGGGTTTAACTGCACTCGGCTTGCAGGGTCCGCATGTGGCAACATCAAAGGTTCGATGATCGACCCCCGGGGGCTGTTAGTCGCATCCCCTGAGCTGCATCCCTACCATGGCCATGATGATGATGGTACGGCCGACAAAGCAGCCTTGTGCTAACTAGTACTCCGGTCACCAGGACAAGGGCAGCTCGTTTTATGCGTTCATCGTCTGCTTATGTCGAATACGAAGGGGGTCGTTGAAGCGAATACATAAGCTTCCTAAAACCAAAGACCAAAGCTGCACCATCGACCTCTCTTTTTGCCTGTCTGTGTTAGACGTATTATGTGTATTTCGCAGCTCCTACAAAGAAATGATGAGGCCTAAACCCTTTTTTGCAGCAGGCCTCGTTGTCCAGCAGCCCGGTTACCTAAACCCTAAACCCTAAACCCAAAACCCTAAAACCCTCGAAGGAGCCTTTTTGCTCGTCTCCTTATGGAGGCCAAAGGCGACCGTCGCATATGCGCCCTGCCCGATTTGCTTGCCCACCTCGGAGAGGGTGAGGGTTTAGGGTTTAAGGGTTTCGACTCGCACACTCGCTGACGCGAAGGGTTTCGACGCTCACTGGTTTGGGATATGGGTCCATATATACCCAAATGGTATATACTATTGGCCCAATGTCCCCAAATAGGGAATACTTTGAGGCCAAAGTATATACTACTTGGGTACATGGAACCTTATGCAAGTTAAAATTCACGTGAGGCAAGGCTGGGGTTATGTTGCCATGAAAGGGCTGAGCTTCGGAGCTTCAAAGCCAACCCTAGCAACCTAAACGCGACGAACCAAATCCTGTCGGCAGGAGACTGTTGATGGCAGCATCAAGTGCAATGCAAGTGTCAGGCTAGAGCAAAACGAACACCGTGTCGACGAATGTTCAAATCCTGTGAACTCTGAATCTCATGTCATTACGCCCTGAAAGCTAGAATCTGCTAGACATGCTGCCGTTAATTACGCCGTAAGCCTTGTGTTGTTTGGTTGCGCTACACTAGGTAGGTAGACCGTCTTTCATAATCTGGGCAAAAGTACAATGTAGACCCCAACCAACAAACGGACCCCCTGACAGGCCCCCTCACGCGATCCCGCGCTCCCTGGCTCGTAAAGCACTGCCAGAAGCACGTAAACAAACCTATACAAAGTTAAAAATACCTAAAGCAAACAAAACTGTATTAAAACAAAACAAATCGTGCATACGTATATGCACATCGTCATACCTGTAAACACAAAACTGTATGATGGACATCGCGGGCCCGAGCCACGATGTAGTCGTCTAGGGAACTCCCTGTGAGGCTGGTGCTCGGACGCCCATCGCTCATGTCATCCTCAGGCTGACCGAATGTTTTGGCTTGAGTTCTTTAGGCATGGATTTCCTGCTTCGAGTTTGTTCTCATCATCTTTGTGCAGAGACCAAGCTTTGCATGCTTATTGTTTATGTTCAATATCTCAATAGTGGTTCTGAACAATGCGGATACCGTTTGTGCGGTTCAGGGGTGCCGCTCCGTCGCACTGGGATAAGCTTTCGCAGAAGTAGGCCTCAATGCCTCAGGCTGGTGTCCGAAATCTACACGGAAGCCCTGTGCGAAATTCTCTGACCTACAGCCATAAGCCATACAGAGAAACGAGCATCCAGTCAAACTGTGCACACGGATTTGTTTGTCCACGTAGCTATGTACAAGAACATGTTCAAGGTGATATCTAGACATGCACAAAGACATGATTCCCTAGCTCATACACGCGTCCCGTAACGACGCATTCCTTGCGCATTGCGCAGCATACTTATGGCATACTGCATGCACACGCACGAATGTGCCAAAGCCATAGCCCGTAAATGTGTTCTCTAACACCTGTACATATACACCCTAACATACACAAACATACGTTGCAATACAGCAAAAATACGAAACAGGACAGCGCAAGACAACACAATCTAATATGGTGCAATGTAAATAACACAGTGCCGTGATGTTTACGATACAATACGATGCAGTACGCGTAATGGAATGTGCTGACAGACGAAACGACATGGTACAAAACAGTACAGTAATCAGTACAAAGCATGATACCACTGTACATTATGACCTTGCCTTTGTCTTACCTTACTTCTGCCTTACCTTACCCTACCTTGCCTCGCACTACAGCACATTCCAGTGCATTACGCTGCTCAATACATGCACATACCAGCGCACATGTGTACACGGACGCGCGCACAAGCAATTGCATTGTCATGCCGATCACGCACCTCTAACCGATCAATGCCAACTCTGATCCAAACTCGAGTAGTTATGCCAAGATTGAAGACCTGAAACAACCCACACCGCCGTGGAGGTTCAAGTCCATCTAGACGACATTTCCACACCGTGAACCCTAAACCCAATGCTTCTTACAGGATCATCAGTCTGAACGCTGTGCCCCAAGCTGCCTTCAAGAGCACATCGAAGGAGTCACGCTGCTTGCGGCCGGAGACTTCGCCAGTTGTCTGCCGGGGGCTGTTCTATCATTTTCGGGCAAAATGTTCTCGCAGTGTGGATGATGCTACGAAGTACCGCAGTGCTGGAGCATCCATGCCATATATGTTGTACAGCAGCTCTTCGATTAGGTCTGACAGAAGTACACTGACAGCTGGGGCAAACACTTCATGCTTCGAGTTCGAGACCCAGGTCGAGATTCGCAGAGAATCAGGTGTCTCATAAATGGTCGCAGTAAAGTGATGCCTGAATTGACTGTCTGTTCTATTTGCCATTACCTAAAGACGCGTACATCCAGCTAAACTGATTGACTGACTGACTGATTGCATGGTATATTTGTGCATACACATTTGGCACCAAAAACCTCGACAGACAACCGCACACATGCACGCCAGTATCTCAGGTAAACTCGAATGCCTCCGCTAAGCCGGCATGCACAGTTAATATGTGCGGACGTATCATGTATATATATATATATATATATATGTATATGTATGTATGTATATGTATGTATGTGTGTGTGTGTATGCATTAGTTTTTAATTCATGTATTTATGTATTATCCGTTATTTACTTATCTGTACGCACATAAGTCTGAATTTGAACGCACATGTCATGCATATGTATATGTGTATATATATCTGTGCATATATATATATAGAAAATATACATATATATATATATGTATGTGTTTATGTACACGCATGCATACATGGGTACATGTAAAATACACATGACGTTTGGGACATGCATTGCACGCATGCTTACTTCCATACTGGCGTACATCAATATGTAACCACGCGCATCTATATCTGTATGTGCGCGTGCAAGTATACGTGTGTGTGTAGTACATGAGCGGGTTGCTATGTGTGTGTGTATATACATATATATATATATGTATATATGCAGATCTAAGGAGAAGGAGGCAGGGAGAGAGGGAGGGAGGGAGAGAGATAGAGACTGAGAGAGAGAGCTGGAAAGCTAGCTAGAGAGCGAGACGGCAAAAGGGCGAGAGAGGGTGAGAGAGAGAAACGAGTGCGAATACGAGCGAGAGAATCTGTCGATTGATTTGCTGTTGGCGGCCTCGGTTGCCTCTTTGGAGAAACCCCCGACGATCTCGCCCTTCTGCTCGCCCCTTGGGGTGGTCTACGATTGGTCTTGTGGTCGAGGCAACTTTGCTTGGCAGCTGCTGCGGCTCAGTATCTGTAGACTCGGGTTTTCGGGTTGAGTGTAGGTTTGCGAGTGTTCGTTTGGTGCTGGGAAGTCCAGCATGTAAACCCATGTCTAGGATAACAGCGGCGTCTCTAAGGATGCTTCCGGGCGCTGGGGACTCCGGTTGCAAACAGGACAAATCGCAGAAAGTGCAAAGCAAGAGTGATGGGCGTCCTCGGCGCTTACAGCGCGACATAGACATAGGCCACATAGGCTCGCGGTAGGTCAGGGATGACGAAAACCCCGGACATAACGATAATAAATACATCATGGTGTATGCCGCTGTCCTTATTCGTCAGGGGATGCTGCCGCCAAACATTCAGAGCCCTCCGGTAGGTCGAACTCGCAAACACCGGGTACCCAAAGGCACCTAGGGTCGGTTCTTGGCTACTTTGCATGAAGTATGGAAACCAGGGTCGCAGAGTACCAGGCCCCACTCTGATACAAGGATGGCTCACCCTTCGTCTCGATGCCTGAAACGAGACTCCTCCCCGAGCTGCGGTTTAGGGTTTTGGGTTAGGGGCTTCAAGGATTCAAGCATCCCTAATCCCTACCCCAAACTCCCAAACCACTCCCTTTGGCATCTCAAATTCAATCTTTACAAGCGGAGGCGCTGCCCCAAGCTTCGACATGCCTGCCAGGAGGACGTGAAGATCAAAAGCCGAAGGTTTTCTTCGATGGAGGTTGCCAGGGTCGGGGCTGTTGTGGCCGCTGCACTGAGACCAGTACAGGACTCCTAAAGGTACTCGTGAGAGGACCGGAGCTGTCTCCCGGAGTTAAGGGCTGCAGAAAAGGGGTCTAGAGGGCTCTGATCCTTTCATCAGCGACCTGACGGAGATTGATGTTCAAGGCCGGCAAGGCTTGTCATGCTCTCTCGCGCCATCAAGCGGCCAAAATCTTCAAGTAAGAAGCTCTCTACTGAGGAGCAGGGTCCTCCTCGCGTAACTACACTCCATTAATACTCTAGATTCTAGATCTTGTCCGGCCATCACTCCCCGGTCACCCCTGTGAACGGTAAGACTTCTGTTGAACCCCTTCAACCTCTCTACGCCCAAACCTCTCCACGCCACTGCCGAAAAAAACAAAAGCTCCGGCCTGAACCCCTGCGCCAGCTGGCAACGACACCTTCGCAACACAAAGCTATATCAGAGTTGATGTTATGTCGACATATGATGGTGCAGTATATGCTACTATGCTATGTTATCTCAGGTGCTATATACTACTGTCATATCTTGTTGCAACATTTTACATCACACTACAGGCTGTATTGTTGATTACATTGTACTTTTCATGTTTTTGTAGTGTGTTAGACTATTCTATGTTCTGTTGTATTGTATTTCATGTCGTGCCGAACTTTACTGTGCTCATGTTCTAAGTCAATGTATATGTATATAAATTATAAAGGGATCTCAAACTAAGCTATGTAGTGTATTCTACTGTTCTGCTACCTTACATTTCAGTACATCACCTAGACCTCGCATGTTACGTTACAGTCCATCCCTAAATCTCACGCCCCACACTACAAAGAGTGTCGGGCAGTGACCTCGGGGAGGCACAGAGTCTGCTGAAGGAGCTGCGGGGTTGCAGCTGTAGGGTTTGGGGCTTTAGGGTTAGAGCCATCTACGGTTTGGGGGGGCGTTTTGGGGCTTTGGGAACTCCAGGTTTTAGGAGCTTTATGGCTTGAGGGTCTTTGATAGCGTTAGGCTGCAGGTTCTGCATCTCTGTAGGCTTTGTGTTTGGGTCCAACATAGGGGCCTGAGGCCTCAGAGTTCTTGGGGTAGTTCTATGCCATGATAGAGAAGGGAACTATTGTATAACGACTATTACTCATCATGATTCCCAACACCCCCCGCCCCCCATAATATGTCTCCCATTGTGGGATCAGGGAAAGCTTTCGGCCCAGGAAGACAAGGTAAACTACAGTGAGCTCCCGAGCGCAAAAGACATACGCACACGATGCAGCAATAGCACTGTCTACCATGCTCAGTGCTGTCCACTCTCAAACAGCAAACCCCTAATTATGCCCGACGTCCTGTCCTAAGCACTAAACCTTAGCTCTAAGCCCTAAAACCCGCTAAACCCTGAAACAATCGGTTGGCTGCGCAGCCCAGATCTCTGCAGCCCGGTTGCTCGCGAAACGCGGCCGACACTGTCAGAGTCTACGCCTAACAGGGTGGTTGTCAAAATTATGGCCCCCTTTGGGGGTACCCTAATTATTAGGTGCCGTATTATCATTATTATTGTTGTTATTATTAATCTTAAGAAAAATATTTTTATTAGTATTAGTCTTACTATTAACTATTATTAGTATGACTATTTTTATTCTATATAATAAGGACCCAAAAAGGGACCACAATTCTGACGTCCCAACAAGGGACTTCGGCTCACGCGCTCACATAAGGTTTCCCGACTCAGGTTGAGGGTTGAGGGGATTCATGGCTTCCGGGCTTGGTGCTGTGGGTGGTTTAACTCTTTAAGATTTACCTTATAACCCCCAATAACCTACCTTTCTAAGGACTTATATGAGGAAACCATGATAGGGAACCCTAAAAAGTTAGGTTCTTCAGGGTCTAGGCTTCGGGGTTAGAAGGAGGGGGTGCTGGATGTAGAACTCGACTCGTGGTCCGAAGATCCCTGTTG